CCTCGCCTCCCCCTCCAAGCTGTCCTGGCTTGAACACACAAAAAGCGCAAGCGACTGTAAGACGGGCGCGCCCGTGCATTCGGCTGTCGTCCAACGTCTGAACGACCTAATATTTCATACAAAATACACAATCTACAGCGCACAGAATACCGCATTATCTGCGATGTTAACCTAAAATATAGCCATATTGATACTATCCACAATCACACGATGACAATCGAGCCTCTGGCACCTGCAGGGATGTGTCGGCTCCAAGACCTGTGTGAGGCTCGAGTCGTGAAAGGTGACTTGTGCAGGCAGAGCTTGGAAAAACAGAAGCGTGACTTCTGAGACCACGGTGACGGGTGACTGTTCCGGTGACTGGTGACTGTCGGGCTTCGGGAGCGGGAAGCGGAGGTGTGACTTGTGACTTTTGGGACTCGGGAGCAGGGAAGAAGGGCGCGACTCGTGACTTCCGGGCGTCGCGCTAAGCGCAGTATTCGAGTATAGTACAGCCATCACANNCAGCAACCTCATGCCCACCGAGACCTGAACAGCGGCATGGGCAGATGGGCAGATGGCAATGTGTCATGTCTGAGCAAACAGTTTCGCTGGCGCCGCAGCCGAAAACTGGACCTTCGTGTGAAGAGGATCGACTTGATCATCGGCCTGCCATGCATCCACACAAACCTAAACGGTCTAAACGTCTCAAAAACATCCCAACTTATAGATGGCCCACGCACTTTGACACACCTTGCAATCTCAGATCGCTCACGATCAACCACATGTTTGAGAAGATTGTTAACGCTTCATGCTCACAGACCCTCATGCAATCACCGCTCACAAGCACGTCGCACATGAAGCTTGCCATGAGCTGTTCACATCCAGACACGACTGACGACATCTGCAACGGCGCACTGCTCACATTTTGACAGGGGCGAACTCGAGGCCCAGCACGTACGGCTGGGCTGGACAGTCCGAACAGGCTGTCACAATCGCTTGCCTCCCTGCCCTCAACACTTGGCTGTGTTCGCGGTGCATTCCGAATCGGCCACCTTATTGAAGATGTAGGTGTCGCCTGACGTGTGATCCCCGCACGAAGCCTTGCTCGTCGTGCATTTTTTGACTTCTTCGCCCTTCTTGTCGTTCCACATCATGCAGCACAGCGTTGTCTTCCGGCCTTCAAGGTCTGCCACACGGCCCTGGAGGTCCTGGATCATCTGCAGGAGGTCGGAATTGCTGGCTTCTGCACTGGGACGTACAGCGCCGGCAAGGGTCAGCACACAGCAAGCAACGACAGCGGCCAAGCGCGCCATGGAGTTGTGACGGAGAAGAAAGGATCAAACAAGAGATCAAGTTTGGGCCAAAAGATTGCTTGAGCCGTAGCCAGAGAAGTATCCGGAGGTTCGCAATCTGGGGCACAATACGAGAACTGCTTGAAAGATCCGGAATGGCAGCAAACCCGCGTGAGTACACGGCACCTCGCCACAAGCGCCGCCGAACTGCAGCTCAGACCCGCAAGAAACGCAGCGTGCCTCCGGGCACGCCGAAGACAGGTCGCTCCACTCCCCATCACAGCAGCAACCTCATGCCCACCGAGACCT